AATGTAGTCTGATGCACAGCTCCACAGGAGGGATCTTACTTGTTCAGAGAAGCCAGTGACCATATTGCTGTACTCTCCAAGCCATTTTCTGATGTCTACATGGCACAAAAACAAAAATAATCAATCTGACAATCTTCTCCTATGGAGCAGCAGCCTACAGTGTCTTTCAGAGAAGCCCTTGAAAACTGAAACAAATAGTTGTGGCTTTAAATTCTTCAGTTTTTAAAAAAATAGTTTTTTTAAAAATAGCCTTAGTTTAAAAAAATATATATCCTAAATGCTAACACTTTATTTTTGGAATAAATATTCTTGAAAATAATCTTTAATTTTTCCAATATGTGCAAGTTAAGAGGTAAAGTAGTGGAAAAAAAATGTTCTAGGTAAGCTAAAAATCTTTTCAAGTTGTTTAGAGCTCTTAAAATTGAATTAAATTATGCAAACTGGTACTCTACACTTAAGGAAATGTATTTAGTCCTTCTTTAGTCCTAAAGGCTTCTAAATTGAATTCTGCAAAATATGCTTCTGTGGTAACATAACATTGAGTGCTCACCTACTTCCAATCACAAATAAATAATCTTGTACACTCATGTAGTCTCTTTCCTTTTTTTTTTATCTTGTTTTTTAAAATTTATTTCTTGTCTTACCATTTTCTTGTGGAGATTGTCTGCTATTTGCCTGACAGAGACGACCTTTACACCTAACACTCCTCTCTATGAACGCCCTGCTGAAGCCACATGAAGGATTTGACAGTCTTCTATGGTTTAACTCCCTTAATGAAAACCACATGAAGGAATAACTCTTGTTCAAAAACTAAGCCAATATCTATCCACTCCCTAAGACAAGAAGTAAGTCTTTACATTTTTGCATAATGGATTCTCAACTGCTAGAATGGACGGTAGGATTGCCATCAAAAAAAGATCGGCCTTTCACTATTTCTGAGCAACAGGGCTTTTCTTCCAGATATACATATAATACTGATAACCTAAATTGACATTCCTAACATGACAAATTTGTGAGCTGTTATTCAGGCAAATGCCCATTAACAACTGTGTCTTTTTCTAAGAACCTCAGAATTTAATGGTTGTTCTAGGAAAGAATTATATGAAGAGATATGGAATTTTAGCCATGCAGTACATCTTAAGGCAGACCTGGTGTAAAATATAATGTTTGAGTAGAATTACTTATATCTGCATTAAACAGTGTTAAAATGGGGACAACAGTCAGATTCTTATCCTGGTGGTAGAAAATCTCTCCAATAGAGATTAATGACACTTCTGTAACATTCATGATATATTTAAAGCAGTGTTATCTCTGGTGAAACAGTGGGAGTCACTGTTACAGCAACTGGTGTTAACGTGACTGTTTTTTCCTCCATGATGTCAGCTTTTGTCTGGGGCATGTATCTGAGTTTTTCAAAGAGCAAGTTCTCCTTATGAAATTCTCTTCTCGAGGAAATTGAATGTATCTTCAAATTGTTTTTGTTTTTGTTTTTTTTTTCCAGCAAACTTACCACCCATAAGGGATGCCGGGAGATTAGACTTAAATCCTTAATAGAAAAAAAGCCAGAAATCTTCAAGAAAGCAATGTCTGACACATTTCTACAAAAAAAAAAAAAAGACAATGGCATTTTCAAATACACCCCAGAGCTGGGGGACATATAGTGATTTATGCAAGCCAGCATTCATTTGAAGAAAGAAAGGAAGGAAAACTGACTGAGCTGTAGGGCTCTGATAAACTTGTAAGACAAAAATAATAAAAAAAGTTTAAAAAAGATTGATAAAACAGATTAACATTCAATAAAATCTTTTCAATATCACACAAAGTGAGAGATGATGAGACAAAAGAAAGTTATATGCAGTATCAGCCAAGAGCTGCTCCAAAAGTAATGCCTTCTATTTTATTATAACGGCCCATGTTGTCAGAGCTATGTTGGTGGCACGGCAGTGAAAGCTGAAACCTCCCACCAATATTCAGTTACATTTTGTTGCTGTGTGATGGACAGCAGCTGAGGGGCAGTCTGACAGAATGGCATTTGATGTAGAAGTGCATATGAAGCAAAGATATATAACTGAATTCCTCCATGTGGAAAAAAAGGCACCCACTGACATTCATCAACACTTGCTGAACCATGGGAATCACCCTTTCTCGACTTGGACTCCAACTAGAAAGGTCCTACAAACTACTCAAAAAACAGGCAACTCTGCTTTTCTCTGAGTAGGTATCTCTTTCCTAATATTGTGCTTAGCCAGCTCTGCTGCGCCCTGATTTTAATTCTCAATAGTAATCAAACTCCAAATCGTGTTTCAGATACTTGTAGCTGATAAATTGAGGTTCCTAGTGCCACTCACAGTCTGTTCGTTAAAAAAATTAATGGACAAAAGCTGATCTGGTGATCGATGCCTTGATGACAGTACATATGACATTACTTCTGGTATGTTACTGAGCAGTTCTCTTATTTAATAGACCTTCCACTTGACAACAAACTTTCAAAAGTAATGATGAGCTGATTCCTAAGACTGGAAAATATTTTAAAATAAAGTTCATAATTAAAGATATTTTTAATTGTCCTGATTTATCAAGGAAAAACATACAAAGCTGCAATGCTAGGAGTGTAGGAATTAATGCAACTCTGTCGCAGGTAAGGAAGAATATAGAAGAGCATGTTCTTCTATCTATTCCTTTACAGTAAGCATAAGGGAAAAAGAATTTTACTCCACCCAGTGAGAGAAGGTAGAGGGTAAGAGGTTTCCTCAGATTTCACTAGAAACAAGGAATCAGAAAAGAAGCTGCAAAAGAACTTTACAAGCCATAAAATAAAAAGATTTGTTAAAACAAGGATAAGCTTCAGCCAAATATTTAATTTCTAGATTTCTCGCCAGAAGTTTTGTGGAAGCAGCAATATAACCATTGAAGAAAATATGCCTTCATTAACAAAATAAATTAAAAGAACCTTAATTCTTTAATGCTTTTCACATGAAAGCTTGCAGAATTACTCCTAGAGAGGATATGTACCCATACAAGTGGAACATCCCTGGCTTCTTCAGTCAACCAACAGCCATAACTTACAAAGTAGCAATCTGCAATTATATTCCTAACACCTTTAATCATCTTAGTAGGCCAGCAAGGGTCACAAATAAGCATTCTTCAAACATAATCTTAGTAGTAGATTAGAAGTAGAATTCCTTGCCTTTTTATGCATTCCTTTTCACTGTATGTTTCACTGCTGTGCTAAGTCTCATGGTACCTGCTTTTACGTTAGCTGTATGATTCGTTTAATCACTGCAGCTAAATTTTCTTTCAAGACATTCTTCTCTGACATTGCTCCAGGATAAAATGTGTCATAGAGGCTGACACATACTCTAGCAAAGCTCTCAAAAATTATTCAAACATCAGCTGCCCAGAACTTCTCAAGTACTGAAAACGCAGTCAACAGTCCTCCACACGTGCTTACGGCAATTCACTCCTTCTTTCCCTTTTCCTATAAGCAATACTTCCCTTTTCCAGATATATTACCCAAACATTTCTAGGTGATATATCATTTATCAGAGATATATTGCAACTTGTTCAGAAGAATGACTAGAACATTAACATAGCAGAGCTCATTCTATCACCTCCCCCATGAAAAAACGGGATATTCCTGCACAAAGAACCCAATACTGAGAATATTTACACACCTGTTTACCTTTGCATATTGTAAGCCACCCCACTGACTTGTTTAGTGCTTGATTTGACACATGAGCACAAATTCTAACAAGTTCAGGGTTTAAAGATGAGCTTAGGCAGACTCAGAATACCATGACCTCCAGCTGTAATAGGGGTGGCAGAACAGATATGAGTTGATTCCTCAGCTGTCCCAATTCTTAACTCGGAGTCATAAAACATTCGTATCTGTAAACTATAAATCTAAGCCAAAAGAAAAGAACTGTGAGAATTCAGCCATCTTCATTGGATACAGTATTTAAGCTTACCATGACAGCATCTTTCTTTTCTGAGGAAAGTAACTTGATGGAACAATATCTCTATATTTTTACATACCAATGAGTACACATGTAAAACATAAGTTGCAATATTAATATATAGCTATGTCCAGAAGGGAAGAAATAAACAATTGGTTGAAAATTATTTCAAAATGTCTCTAAATATATTTCTAAGCTTCTAAGAAATCCCTCATTTCAAAATCATTGTGAATCAGTACATCTTTTTCACTTAAGTATTCTTAATTCAAAACACTTGTAACATCCCTGTCGCTGTGAGAATTCAGCACCTCAGGGGAAAAATATAGTTTGGACCTGTTTACTTTACATTTTGATTTTCATTTTCGCTACACACAGACAATGCTGTTTGGCATGCAGTATATTTGTGTACGACAACATATATAAAGTCTCTCTTAACTGAAAAATCCAGCATTCTACACCAAAATATGACAAACAGTACTGCCATTTCACAGCTATTTACACAGTTTATTATCAAAATTGAAGAAGAAATTGATTCAATAGAAGATACATCATTTCTACGGTCCAGAGAGAACATGTCTACAGGAAGAAGGAAAGAGAACAGAATAAGAAATCAAACAGGGATTTGTAAGTGATGGTTAGCAGAAAGAGAAGAGAGAGAACAAAATCCTTCAGCTGAATTTATGGCATTAAAAGCTCTTTGCAACACAGTTATCTTTGTGTCCAATTCTGGGGTCCCCAAAGGGAAAATACACACATTTTACTGTTCTGCTTAGTAAGTAATTGTATGCATTAGATATCAAATAGGAAATAAACACAGAAGTCCCTTTAAAAGTAGCTGCAACAAAGGAAAACATAATTAGGAAAAGCTGAATGTTTTAGATCTCTTTCCAGCCTATTTTTGCAGAACTTTCATAATTAAAAAATAAAAACATGAGCTTCAAATTCTTTGATGGGAATTCCTTATCTATCAGCACTTGGGTCTGAGATTAGACAAATCTCTGGGCCAGATGCCCAGCTGCTACAAATCCATGGAATTACCCTGATTTAAACCAGCTGATGAGATGGCCAACTCTTTTGAATGTGCAGCCGAATTCCTTTTATGTAGAGCATTTTTTTCCCCCTTCTTCAGAAAACCTTTTTGGAAAAATAAGGTATGTATAAATATTAGGGTGAAATATGATTTATAAACTCAGAGTACTGTTTTAATACAGACCCACCACCCCCACTTCAACCAGATGCAAAATCTCAACTCTGCTGCACAGTTCATGAGTTTATGTTCAGGTTAATGGTGTTGGGTTTCTCTCATATATGGAGATATTTATGTTTTCACTAGTCAGAAATAGAAAATATTATTTGGCCATCTACCCCTGTCAGCCCAAATTATTTCTTTTGTATATTTTCTATTTCTCCATCAGCCTTTCTCTCAACATCTGAAGCAACAGAGTTCCATATCTTTGTGATTTGTATCTCTTGCTTTAAAGTCCCACCTCAGTTTTGTGGCTGACATGTTATGTTTTACACTTAAATCATCAGAATGGCTTTAGAAGTTCATTTTGAAGCTGAAGCTTGACACCTTGACACTAGCTAAGGAATTACAGTGGAGTAATCAAAGAGAGCCTACTAAGCCATTCCATCCTAGTTGAAGCAATAGACCTAGTACTGGTAAATCTATTCATTCTGAATGTCTGCCAAGATACTAAAGAAGAAAAAGGGATTGCCCCAGGCTGGCATTTCCTGTCTGGAAGTATATGGACAGATAACAGAAACCAATACGTAACCAAAAGCTTTAGGTTTAGATCAGAGGTCAAATTAAAAAATAAAGAAATTAAAATAATAAAAAAATAAAAATAAAAAAATCAAATCAAAAAGAAAAGCCAGAAGAAGTATCTTGCTTCAAGTGTAAAACTGAATCGGGATTTTCCAGTAAGTAGATAAAAACTGCAACAAAAATGAGAGCAGTGATATTAGTTAAAAAGTGTGTGTTATGACATCATACAGATCTTCTGTCACCAACAAAAAAGTGTCAGGAAGTGGTTTTCCAGTCAAAGAAGGAACTTCTGAGGAACAAGCCACATGTGTGAAAAATGCTTAGTCACTTCTCAGGATCAAAAGGATTCACCACATCTTCAAAAACTGGGAGCACAGCACAACATGGAGACAGGTTCAACATCTGGAAAGTCTGGTTCCTGGAATTCATGTACACTACAGGACATGGGAACTCTACAAGCTCTTGATCTGTGTGTTTCCTGACTTCACACCACCAAAAGAGCCAAGCAGCCCCTCCTACTTGCCGGAACATAGTTCTGCCAGTTGGACTGAAAGAACAGTCTGTGAATTTTCTCAACATTCCCAACCTTTGTTGGTGTAGAAAAGAATGCCCAAATATTGAAAGCAACCACAGAGCTCAGTTCGCTTTTTTAAAAACTTGCCAATGCAACATTTTAGAGCTATTTTAAGGTTCTCATTTTCCTAAAACAGCTTATGTTAAGAACTGAAACTGTCGGCAGTAATTTTATGGCAAGTGAAAGGGAAACTTAAACTTTCCCCAAATTCACAATCATGAAGAGAAATATCAACCTCAGAATGCAGTGAGGCAAAGCTTGGTGGTTTATCAGAAGCAGTAGTAGCTGAGCTTCAGATCGGCCATGGAGTTCCACAAAGTTAGAATTTCCAGGGTACTATTCTCACTAGAACTTTTTGTACATGTCACTGCACAATTAAACAAACTGAAAAAATAGACTCAAACATCTTCATAAATATGTATCTCTTAGACATAAGTGAAGTAATACCAAGGGCAGAATCACTTAATGATAATTTAATCTGGAACACAGACAAGTCTCCAAAACAATTACAGTGAAGAAGATTCTAAATAGACATTAATCATAGAATCACAGAATCATTTGAGTTGGAAGGGACCCTTGAAGGTCACCTAGTCCAACTGTCCTGCAACAAACAGGGACACCTACAACTAGATCAGAAAGAAAAAAAAAGATTTTACATCACCTGCAGAATGATTTAAGTTACATCACTAAACTCAAGAAGATCTTACAACTGTTTAAAATGGGTATGGATATTTTTAGTTAGACCTCACTGGGAGGATGTGTGCAATCCAGTAATCTCTCCTAACAGGATCTTCAGGTAACAAACTGAATCAGAAGCATTCACTGAGCTCTCATGAGGCCAACATCAGCATTTAGTGCATTACAGCCAATTGACCTGATCAGCAAGAAGTGTGGTGCTGCTGTTTGTGTGAGAGAAGATTAAAGGTATTTTGAAGATTCCTAATTCCACGCTCAAACAAAAAAAGACAGTAAGGATAAGGTGTATGTGAATTTGTACTATCGTATTAAAAAATAAAAATAAAAAAATAGAACTCTTTTTTTAATCCTTTGCCTGTCTATAGAGCTAAATTACAAAATTTCTGTTGGAAATGGAGTTAATTTTGTCCTCTTGTTTTTGTCTTCTTTTTTTAATTTTTCTAGTGTTGGAAAGGAAAGGCAAATGCTGAGATTCTCATGAAATATCCAACTGTGACTTTACAGTACAGTTTTACAGACTAAAAGGATCAAATTAAGATCAGATGTGGAAAGCAGCAACAGCAGGGAAGTGACTGGTGATGCAGCCTCCCACACCTGGTTTGAATTTTGTTTCACTCTGTTAATTCAGATATACTGCTGAAAGCATAGCTCTTGAAAAAGACTATAATTACCTAAGAGAGAAACCCTTTTTTAAAAAACTGTGTGTTACTACAAAGCTAGCAGAAAGCAGGACCTGAGAAAGCAGGCTAAAATTCATTTTAGGACAGAAGCAGGACAGAGCTAAGCCATCATTAAATTGTGATTGTAAATAATATATTCAAATTATGCATATTATTGGTAGTATGTGTTCCAGTGCCACAAATCTAGTTATGGGTTACCTCTCTAGGTACTGCACAAGTAGAATGTCCAGAATTGACTGGGCCTTAAGATTTATATACATAAATTTAAAACTCCTTCTAAATTTCTTTGAAAGGAAAACAAACTAAAAAAAGTCATGCTTTCAGGATTTTGCAGTAGATAGTATGAATTTTCCAAATTGCATCTTATTAGATTTGCTTCTAATAGCAGTTTCCTGTAGTTGTGCTTTATGTGCTAAGCCTCTTTATTGCTACAAAATAGTGCTCCTATAAAAGCAGATTTAAACAAAGCTCAGTAAAAATCCTTAAAAGTGCTGATGAATTAGAATACCTGCTGATCAGCTGAAAACATGTTTATTTGTCATGTCATTATTGATCCTGACCTTCTACAGTTGAATTTAAATCAGATATTTAGCTTGGAAGAAAATATTTTCCCTTGGATGCATTCTGCCAGGATATAACTTTCAATGCTGAATTATAAGGTGGCATGATAAAGTGGCAGCTGCTTCAAATTAGCAAACAATAAATCCAATTCTATTCTCTTTTCAACAAAACAAATTGCCCACTTCACAGTAGAGATCATTCCAGTGTAAGTGCTTTGTGTGCTTTCATCCAACTCCACAGTCATTAGCTTAAAAAGGCAACCAGAATCACTGATGTACTTACAGTTGGATATTACATTTGTCTGAGCATTGCAAACCAGTGATGAAATTCACTGGACAAATTTATTTAGTTGGCAGGGTTGTAGTTATTGTTCTGTACCATATGAGTTCTGTACCATATGAGAGTTATCTTTTGAAAGATTCTTAATGCAAGCTTCAAAGTTATCATGGAGATCAGTAGAAGACAAACACAGGTCAGTTTAAGAGAAGAGTTGGGAAGTAACATAGCTTTCGTTACTGGAAGCTGGTGTGATACCTCCTGAAAGCTCTGCTTTCTTCTGGATCCATGTCAGCATGCTAACATGCCTAGTTCATAGCAATGAAAGCACTTCTTCATCGTAGTTCACCAACTTCTAGGCTGTTATGGAACCCTGCCAAAGTTTAGTGCACACTGACAGATTCAATCCATCTCAGAACTAACCTCATTTTAGCCTTACTGCTGTCTGCACTTCTAGATTGATGAAATTAATAAAAGGAAGTCTTCTACAGACATGCAAATGGCGGAAGATGTCATTTATCACCTCTATTGTTGATTTTTACACACTATACTTTTGGGTGTAAAAGCTTTTCCACTGCACAGCACAACTCTTAAAAGCATTACTGCTATGGTCAAAAGTTTCCGCTATTTATCTCAGCAGGCAAAACAATTAAGATATGCCTACACAATTATTTTCTCAACTGCTAAAGGAAAGGACAAGTTTTAGAAATTTACTAGGAAGAACATGGGAGGGAAATATAACTTGAGAGTCTTTCCTCACTCTGACCAGAAGGTAGCACACCTCTGATGGGAGCATTCCAGTTCATCAGTTACTGAAAGTAATAGAATGTTTTCAAGATTGACATTTCTACATAGCTCCAAGACATTTTAGGCAATAATTATTTTTCAATTAGCGATTTTCCATGTAGCTAACTGTGAGCTTCAGGTAGATCCACTGCAAGAAAGACAGAAAGACAATACACAGAAATCTCCACTGCCAACCCTTAAATGAGGTCTGGGAAGGGGTGTATCCTGGCTCTACCCCTTCTGGTCACTCAAATACATTGCATGCAGCTGAGCTCCCCTGAATTGTCCCTGCCTTTACACCAGGTGCTCAATCACTGGGTCATGCCCTGACTTAGCATTTTTGCTACAATATTAATCTGTTAATTGCAGGTATGGAATGAGCTGATAGGCGCATTTGTACTGGTTACATACTATGGCTGTATCATTAGGCATTAGAGGACTTTGTTTTTTTGTACTGAGATCAATGGATAGAAAATTGCTTAAATTTACGTGTCCACAGTAGAGAAAAGATGAAGAAAGAAGTTAGCATAGACTGTTTTCATTTTTGACTGGTATCTATTGCAGAAAGCATCAAGAGATAAGCAGAGACTGCCTGACTGCCTGTTTGGCAAGCACTCCAATGAGCCAATCTTGTAAAATCACAGATAAGCTGCAACACAAAGAGAAAACCAAACTCCCCTGTTGTTTCTTAATGTGTTTTTGACCAGCACTTAAACACTTTCATCACTACTATGTTTTATAAAACAATCATATCATTTGCAAGACTAGAATTAAATGCTCAGGTGTTCAGTATTTACAATAATTTGTACAGTATATTCTAATTTCTCAACCCAATTCATGACTGTGTTTTTAGCTTAAAATATAAGTTGTGTGGAATTGGTCAAAGCTATTCATTTTAGAACATTACATGTCTTGGAAATTTTGCCAGAACTGTATGCACCACAAACTAAAACATACACTCTCTCTACTCTGAAGTGGGATAGATCACTTAAATTCAAGGTCTGTGGATTTATCTATCTGCCAAAGCACAGCTCATGAAATATTTGTAAAGCCTTGAAGACAGGGACAGACATCAGGATACTCAGCTCAGCAGATATTTAAATGGATATGGTAGAAGGAAAGGAAACCAAGACTGTCAACCACAGAAACTCAAAAATATCAGAAGTCCAAAAAATAATAGAATCTGGTTTTGACTTCAGTGAGAGTTAGGCCCTTAGCTAGTGGCCTATGTATTCAAATATCTGTAAGGAAATAGGCCTGAATAAGCACTGTAAGAAAGAGGAAGTGAGGCAGACCAGAATTAGAAGGGGTTTTCCCCAGAGGTAAGTTTCGGAAAAATTAATATGATTACAAAACTGACATCAGACCAAGCTAAAAGTCCTTGAGACTTGGAAAAAAAGAAATGGTAGGATCTGAAGTTGCTATGAAGGACACTAACTCCCAAAGTCCTAGGGAACTAATATAACTACTAATATTGTTCTCTTACCACCCTAGGTTTCAGGTCAGA